ATTCAATATTCAACTCTCACATGCATATGGGACAATTGAAAACATCGTGTCTTGGTCTTGACACACCTTAGTCCTCAAAGTACCAGCCCTGCTCTTTAGCACCCTACAGAGATCTTGTGCAGCAGGTTTACCCAATGCAACGTATCATTTGATGTCCTGAACATTAATTGTGGATCCAGGCAAGACAAAATCCTGGACAACTTTAACTTTTTCTTCATTAATCATCTATGTTATCTATTGGTCCAGTTGTGAAGATTTTGGTTTTTCTTACGTTGTAGGCCCTCAGAATTTGTTATGTGGACAACAAATTAATATAAGAATCAATCAAAATCCAAACAAAGACCAAACAACGACAGACATAAGATCCAGTGCTTCCCTGGAAGTGTTTAGAGGAAACCCTTTCTTGGGGAGAGGGATGCTGATGACAGGAAAAAAGTGGAAGTTGGGGTGGTTTGGGTGACCGTGGTATTTTGGGTGGACTGGCAGTAGAAAGCCATTGGACAGGTGATACTAGACTGCCCCCTTGTCACCTTCTTCCCCTGGAGAATGGAGACATTCTGAAGTTTCTCCAAGAGCACACACAGATTGAGTATTTATATCGAGTTTCCTTCTAAAACACTGGGTCGCTGTGACAACAAAAGCTAAACATGTAAATTCCACAGAAAAAGCAATTCTGCTGGAGATAAGTCCAAAATAAATCAGTACCTATGCTTACCCAAAGATATGAACAAAAGTAATCTTAGCAGCCCTGTAATAACCCCAAACTGGAAACTCCCCCCAAACCTATTAGTGCCGCTGCCCTTGTTAGGTGCAATTGCGTCGGTTCTGACCCGCAGTGGCCTTACGGACAGCAGAACAAAGCACTGCACGGTCCTGGGTCGTCCTCATGATGTTCCCATGCTTGAACCTGTTGTTGCAGCCACGAGGCCAAGACAGACGTGTTTGTCCTGTTATCAGTCCATGGCACCTTCAGTATTCTTCGCCAGCACCACAATTTCAATGCCTCAATTCTTCTTCAGGCTTCCTCATTCAATGTCCAGCTTTCACATATATATGAGGCGATAGAAAATACCATGGCTTGAGTCAGGCACACCTTAGTTCTCAAAATAACAGTCATGCTTTTCAATACTCTAAAGAGGTTGTATGCAACAGATTTACTTAATGCCATGTGTCTTTTGATCTCTTGCCTGCTGCTTCCAGGAGTATTCATTGTGGATCCAAGCAAGACAAAGTCCTGGACAACTTCAACCTTGTCTCCATGTATCATGGTGTTACCTACTTGTCCGTTGTGAGGATTTGGGTCTTCCTTACACTGAGTCATAGTCCATACTGAAGACTGCAATCCTTAATCTTCATCAGCCAGTGCTCAAAGTCACTGCCGCCACCACTTCCCCACTTTGAGCAAGCAAGGTGTGTCATCTGCATATCTCAGGTTGTTAATAAGCCTTCCTGTCATCCTGGTGCTGCATTCTTCTTCATATAATCCAGTTTCTCTGATTATTTTCTCAGCATACATGCTGAACAAGTACGGTGAGAAGATACAACCCTGACACACACCTTTCCTGATTTTAAACCACGCAGTATGCCCTTGTTCTTTTTGCACAATTGCCTTTTGATTCATGGTCAGGTTCCACATAAGCACACTGAAGTGTTCTGAGATTCCCATTCTTCTGAGGATTATTCATAGTTTATTATCATCTACCCAGCCGAATGACTTTGCGTGCTCAATAAAACACAAGTAACCCTCTTTCTGGTATTCTCTGCTTTCATCCAAGATCCATCTGACATCAGCAAGGATATTCTTCGTTTCTTATCCCTTTCCGAATCTGACTTGACTCTCTGGCAGCTCCCTGTCAATGGACTGCTGCATCCGTTGTTGGATGATTTCCCACAAAATGTTACTTTCATGTGATATCAATGATATTGTTATATAATTTGAGATTGTCTTGGTTCATCTTTTTTGGAATAGGTACAGAAATGGGTCTCTTCCCGTGAGTTAGCCAAGGAGCTGTCTTCCAAATTCCTGGCATACATGAGTAAGTGCTTCATCAGCTTGTAGAAACACTTCACTCGGTATTCCATCAGTTCCCGGAGCCTTGTTTTTGGCTGACACATTCAGTGCTGCTTGAACTTCTTCCTTCAGCACATTGGTTCTTGTTCATATGCTACCTCCTGACATGGCGGAATGTCAACTACTTCTTTTGGGTCCAATGACTCTGTGTATTCTTTCCATCGTCTCGTGATGCTTCCTGCATCAGTCAATATTTTGCCCATAGAATTTTTCAAGACTGCAACTTGAGGCTTGATTTTCTTCTTCAGTTCTTTAGGTTTGAGAGATGCTGAACGTCGCTCTTTCCTTTTGGCTTTCCATTCTACGGCTTTGTGCTTTCATGATACTATTTGACTTTGTCTGCTAGAGCTGCCCTTCGAAATTTTTTATTCAGCTCTTTGACTTCATCTTTCCATTTGCTTCAGCTGCTCCATGACTAAGAGCAAGTTCCAGAGTCTCTTCTGACGTCCACCTGGATCTCTTTTTTCTTTCCTGTCTTTTTATTTTTAAATTTTATTATTTATTTATTTTATTAAAAGATCATTTTATTGGGGCTCTTACAACTCTTGTCACAATGCACACATCGTCTGCATCAGGTGAATTCATACATTTGTTGCCTTCATCTTTTCGAGATACTTTCTGTTGAGCCCTTGGGATCAGCTCTTTTTTCCCCCTTCCCTCCTTACCCCCACCCTCACAGCCCCTTTATAGATTGCACATTGTTCTTAGTTTCCTTTCCTGTCTTTTTTATAATGACTGTTTGTTTTCTTTGTGAATGATGGTCTGGATGCCTTCCACCCATCAGATCTTCCATCAGTAGGGTTCGATGCATCAAATCAGTCCTTGAAATGTTTGCTAAGTTCAGGTGGTAGAACTTATTAGTGGTAGAAAGAATAAATAAAGTGTTGA